AGGGGGTGTCCTGGCAGATCCGCTTTTGAAGGGGATGCGGGGTCTGCTCAGTGCTGGGGGCTGGTGTGCACGGCACAGCCGTACCCTTCCCAGCCCTGCGAAGGCCCCTGAAGGGTGAAGAGGTACTGGGGGCGCCGTGGTGAAGCGCCGCCATGGTGCAGTGTTCTGGTAGCCTGCGCGGGAAGGCCATGGCGTGCTCTGGGACCCCAGGGACGGCTTTGGCCATGGGAGCCTCGCCTGGCCTTGCCTCATCTCACCTCTCACTGTGACAGCCTGGTGGGAGCATGGGCTGTCCCCAGTGACCAGGCCACCCCTCCCGCCACAGACATCATGGTGAGGGGAGGCTGGCATCCAGCCATGGGGCCTGTGGGGCCAGCAGCACCGAGTGGCACCGGGAGGGCACGGGCAGCGCTCCAGGAGCGCTCCAGCAAAAGCAAGTGAGAGCTGGTGGTGTGCAGTCTTGGTATTTATTACACGTTTTCGTAGTAGTATTGTGTATTTGTATGCCACTTCTCCAGCAGTGAGTTTGTATGGTTTTGGTCCATTGAGTTACAAGCAGTTAATTCTGATGTCTGCTGGTGTGAGAGAAGCGGAGGCGTACTGTCAGCAGTACCCTGCCAGAGCTCCCTTGTGCTCAGTCCCCAGGGGCTGCCAGTGCAGGATCTCCTGTAGAGAAAGTCACTTTAGTTAGTGGGAATAAGCAGCCTCCCAGTAAACTTTGTTTTATTTGGGAAGAGCATCTGGGAGACTTCCAGGAGTTGCAAAAACAATTACCATTTATTCCCCTTTCTTGAAGTGGTCCAAGTACAGCCCAAAGCTAAATGAAGTCCCTCATCTGCTTTTCCTTTACTGTGAATAGGGGTGCTAACAGCGAACTTCCTGGGGAGTTGTGTTAGCACCTTTGATTGTTGTTGATATTTCTGTTTTGATGAACTGTTTGGGCTTTTTAGTATGTTGAAAAAATTCTAAGTAGGTTGAAAAGCTTGAGCATCCACTCCGGTGGATTTTGTTGCTTTCTACAGCGTAAGCAAGGCTGAGGTGCAGTTTGGGTCCCCATTAAGTTAATGTCAGCTGGTTTCCAGGTGTGGTGTTTCATGTCTAGGGCCTGAGCAATTATCCCATCCCTCACTTATTCTTTTGGTCAGTCGTTGGGGGCTGGAGCACCTCCCATATGAAGATAGGTGGAGAAAGTGTGGGCTGTTCAGCCTGGAGAAGAGAGGGCTGCGTGGAGACCTCATAGCAGCCTTCCAGTGTCTGAAGGGGGCCTACAAGGATGCTGGGGAGGAACTCTTCATTAGGGATTGCAGTGATAGGATAAGGGGTAATGGGTTTAAGCTTAAAAGCAGAAGTTTAGATTAGATATAAGGAAGAAGTTCTTTACAGTGAGGGTGGTGAGGCACTGGAATAGGTTGCCCAAGGAAGTTGTGAATGCTCCATCCCTGGCAGTGTTCAAGGCCAGGCTGGACAGAAGCTTGGGGGACCTGGTCTAGTGTGAGATGTCCCTGCCCATGGCAGGGGGGGTGGAACCTTAAGGTCCTTTCCAACCCAAACCATTCTATGATTCTGTGATTCTCATTGTGGTCGTGAAACTCAGTTTATTAGAAACGTGAAGTCACAAGGGCAGCATTGCTAGAAATCCAGATGAATTATCTGGTCACTTATGGAAATAAAGTTCCCTTGGTGGTTTTTTTTTTTTCTCTGTTAGTGGTTTTGTATAGCTTGTATTGCCAGGTAGTCAGAAGAGAAGTGTTGTGTTGAATAGTAAAGCAGTGATTTTTATTCAAATGAATCCTTGTCAGTCAATCAAAATCTTAGTCCTGCATGTAGGTTATCTTTTTAGTCCTTAGAATTAAACTTTAGAAAAACTTAATCTGAGTCATAATTGTGGCATATCATACATTTCTGCACTGCAAAATAGTTAGCAATACCAACGTATTATAACTTTAGATTTGTTATGCTACTTTTTTGTTTTGTTTTGTTTTTCAGAGAATGCAGATGGTAAATACATTTCCCCATTTCATGACATTCCACTGTTTGCTGTATCTAAAGAGGTATGTATTTATGTCGTGAAACACTTAATTTCAAAATAACAACAGTTTTATTGGCATTCTTTAGGGAAAAATGCAGGTTTTTTAGAAGCTTTTTTTTTTTTTTTTTTTTGGGGGGGAGCAATTAACAGACAGATGTATAACACCACAAAGGACCACTTTAACCAGGGCTGATTCCTTACATAATACAGGCACAGTAACTCCACCAAATATTCTCTGCCGAGTTCAGTAACTTGCAGTGAAACAGAATGTGTACACAAGCCTAGGTGTCTAGAAGTCTTGCAGTGACTGCGGGTTGGGGGACCTCTCACTGTATCTCGGGTTAATTCTCCTCTGTGTTTATGTGTATGTGTTCTTGAATTCATTTTCTACTATGACTCCTTTCAAATTGGCATTTTCCTACATCTGCAATTGAAAGTATACATTTCCTTGCAGGAGGAGATGTACAGTACATGCTTATATAACTTACAGTGTATTTCTGTAGTTCCCAAAAGGAGCATTATAATTGGAAGCCAGCAATAATGCCCAAGAGAAAAGTGGTAATCACACCTTTGGAGATTTACAAGGCTTGGGGTGCAGCTGAGCACTTTCACGTCTTGTTAGCCGCACTCCCTGGAGTTTCATTATACCAATAATGAAATGCCTGGTTTATGTGTCACTGCTGGGAACTGCCAGTCTTTGGTTTAGACTTAGGTTTGTTTATTATGGTATGCTTGTTACACAAACAGGTTGGGAGCGTTTTGGCTGTTTTCTACATTTGTTGCTGGATCTCTATGGATGATGGTGAGGAAGGTCAGCAGTTGTAACGTGTTCAGATTGAGACTTCTGAACTAGTAAACTAATCTCTTGAATTACTTAAACCGAGAGATTAAAAATGTCCATGAAACTTTTTGATTGGCAGCCCCTAAGCATGCTAGTCAATGAAAGACGTCAGTCTCATTGAGAGAGTCATCACTAAGATGCTCTGTTCAGTGGGTGCTGTTGCTGTAAAAACAGTC